CCTTGGAACCATAAAATATTCACTGACAAAAGAATCTTGAAAGACAGTACCTTTAAGCATATTCATTAATACTTTTGTACAAAAGTATTATTTCTGGACAAGTAATATGAACATAGTAAGAAAGATACCTTCTTATCCTGTCCTGGAGTGGCATTTTTGCCCCAGAAAGTGATTCTGGGTTTTAAACACGCATATTTTTGTGATAAAAAATAGTAAATATGCTATTCTTTTCTGGAAAGGACAGTATTCTGTAGCAAAAACCTGGAAGCACCTTTGCTGCAGCTGTAATGACTTGATGAAAAAAGTTTCATTCACCACCTTCCATTCTGTCTGGACTCCATTTTTGGGTTTCACATCAAAATAACTAATTTCTCTCAAATTCATTTGCATTTCTGCTTGGTAAGTCATGCCAGTTCCTGTTGTTTTTAGCTGATCTCTATTACTTTTAAGGGACACTGTCAGGCTGAAATCTAGTCAGTTTAAAAATATGAATTAAAAGTATTTTCAGGTTCTGCACAGGTCACTAAATGCCCCTGCTAATTGTTGTATGTTAGAATCACATTTTCCTATTTTCTTAAAATATTTTTCTCTCCTTACTCACTCTGTGTGAAAGATCTACACAAACAAAGTAGGAACTGATTGATAATACATAGGAAAGTGAAACTGACAACCCAAAAAGTTGTCAAAACCACAAAGTAAAACTGAAACAAGATTTTTCTTTTTGCTCTAATTGTGTTTAATTATAGTAATCTTAGATGTTAGACGACAGTTGATAAGACGTTTTCAGACAGAAATATGATTAAAACAACCTCACTATATTTAGTTTGTTTTTTAGTTGTCAAGCATTAATTGTTAAATTGTTAAATTAACCTCAAGTGAAATTTGCATTAAGTGAAAAAATGCAACCTTGCTTCACTTCATTAAATATCTCCAGTATGGTTCTTCTCATCATTGTTTCGAGCGTATATTGCTGCAGCTCACACCTTGAAAAATCACAATAGCAGGTGATGCTAATACATGGCAGCGTGTACCCTAGGGTGACCAGATAGCAAGTGTAAAAAATCAGGATGGGGGTGGGTGGTAAAAGGTGCCTATATAAGAAAAAGCCCCCAAAAATCAGGACTGTCCCTATAAAATCGGGACATCTGGTCACCCTAGTGTACCCACATATATGAGACTAGAATCAGACATATACATTTTATTTATACTATGGTGCCAACAGACTTGAAATTCAACCATTGAAAGGCTTCTGCTTGAGTTTCAGCCAATCTGGCTGGCTTGAATTTCTGGTGGTGGCAACAGAACTTCAGATTACAATATCTTTTCAAATTCTGTAAGTCATCTATTTGAGTTACGTGTAAGCAAAAAGCATCCTTAATGTACTTAATGTGGGAAGAGTGTCTCATCTTTTCATAAATCAAAAGTGGAGGAGCAGATTTTGATCAAATTTTTAAAAGTTCTCTCTAAGCTAAGAACAAGTAGGAAAAAATTTCAGGCCAGAATGTGAAATTTTCAGAATGTCACTCAGGGACAGTAATTAAAGCCCTGGCATAATTTTAAATACGGAAGGAGCTACCAGAGCAGTTGCTATGAGAAGAATAAACTTGAATTATAAATTATTAGACGATAGCACTGTATATATATTGTGGGGCTGATTTTAGAATCAGAGAAGAAAATATTTAACTTGACCCTTAAATAGGCAACCAATAAAATCTACTGTACGAGTAATAATTAAATAGCTGCAGAATTTATTTTTGCCACAAAGAGGCACTGCTGTATAACTTCATTGTGACATCACCATTCAGTTTAGCGAGATAGAATAGCAACAAAGCAGATGTATAATTTTTGTGCTGGTAAATGTATGGGTTATCATCTTTAGTGGATCTGATTGATTTAGAGCCACACTATTTTAAAAGAAAGAAATATCAGTTCTTCTTCAAGTGTTTGTTCATGTCGCTTCCAATCAGGTGTGTGTGCGTGCACGTGCAAAATGGCCAGAAGATTTTTCCCTATGCAGCATCTGTCGAGTCGGCCTGGGTGCTCCCTGGAGTCACGCCCTTATGGCGCCTAATATATAGCCCTGCTGACCAGCCACCCCTTCAGTTCCTTCTTACCACCACTGACGGTGGCTGGAACTTCCCTTGGCTCTTGCTCAGCAAGTTTTCTTCATTATTCTGTGTATATAGTTAGTTAGTTGTTAGTAGTACCAGTTTGAAGTTTAGTATAGTATAGTAGTTGGCGGTTTCCCCCCACACTCCGGCGCCGTGGCATGCTGCGGTCCCTGGGATTTAAGAACTGCGTGGCTTGTGCCAAGCGCATGCCTAAGGGTATGTCTACACTACGGAATAAGGTCGAATTTATAGAAGTCGGTTTTTTAGAAATCGGTTTTATATATTCGAGTGTGTGTGTCCCCACAGAAAATGCTCTAAGTGCATTAACTCGGCGGAGCGCTTCCACAGTACCGAGGCTAGAGTCGACTTCCGGAGCGTTGCACTGTGGGTAGCTATCCCACAGTTCCCGCAGTCTCCGCTGCCCATTGGAATTCTGGGTTGAGATCCCAATGCCTGATGGGGCTAAAACATTGTCGCGGGTGGTTCTGGGTACGTATCGTCAGGCCCCCGTTCCCTCCCTCCCTCTGTGAAAGCAAGGGCAGACAATCATTTCGCACCTTTTTTCCTGAGTTACCTGTGCAGACGCCATACCACGGCAAGCATGGAGCCCGCTCAGGTAACCGTCACCCTATGTCTCCTGGGTGCCGGCAGACGCGGTACGGCTTTGCTACACAGAAGCAGCAACCCATTGCCTTCTGGCAGCAGATGGTGCAATACGACTGGTAGTCGTCCTTGTCGTGTCCGAGGTGCTCCTGGCCACATCGGCTGGGAGCGCCTGGGCAGACATGGGCGCAGGGACTAAATTTGGAGTGACTTGACCAGGTCATTCTCTTTAGTCCTGCAGTCAGTCCTATTGAACCATCTTATGGTGAGCGGGCAGGCGATACGGACTGCTAGCAGTCGTATTGTACCATCTTCTGCCAGGCAGGCAAGAGATGAGGATGGCTAGCAGTCGTACTGTACCATCTTCTGCCGAGCAGCCATGAGATGTGGATGGCATGCAGTCCTTCTGCACCGTCTGCTGCCAGCCAAAGATGTAAAAGATAGATGGAGTGGGTCAAAACAAGAAATAGACCAGATTTGTTTTGTACTCATTTGCCTCCTCCCCTGTCTAGGGGACTCATTCCTCTAGGTCACACTGCAGTCACTCACAGAGAAGGTGCAGCGAGGTAAATCTAGCCATGTATCAATCAGAGGCCAGGCTAACCTCCTTGTTCCAATAAGAACGATAACTTAGGTGCACCATTTCTTATAGGAACCCTCCGTAAGTCCTGCCTGAAATACTCCTTGATGTACAGGCACCCCCTTTGTTGATTTTAGCTCCCTGAAGCCAACCCTGTAAGCCGTGTCGTCAGTCGCCCCTCCCTCCGTCAGAGCAACGGCAAACAATCGTTCCGCGCCTTTTTTCTGTGCGGACGCCATACCCAGGCAAGCATGGAGGCCGCTCAGCTCACTTTGGCAATTAGGAGCACATTAAACACCACACGCATTATCCAGCAGTATATGCAGCACCAGAACCTGGCAAAGCGATACCGGGCGAGGAGGCGACGTCAGCGCGGTCACGTGAGTGATCAGGACATGGACACAGATTTCTCTGAAAGCATGGGCCCTGCCAATGCATGCATCATGGTGCTAATGGGGCAGGTTCATGCTGTGGAACGCCAATTCTGGGCTCGGGAAATGAGCACAGACTGGTGGGACCGCATAGTGTTGCAGGTTTGGGACGATTCCCAGTGGCTGCGAAACTTTTGCATGCGTAAGGGCACTTTCATGGAACTTTGTGACTTGCTTTCCCCTGCCCTGAGGCGCATAAATACCAAGATGAGAGCAGCCCTCACAGTTGAGAAGCGAGTGGCGATAGCCCTGTGGAAGCTTGCAACGCCAGACAGCTACTGGTCAGTTGGGAATCAATTTGGAGTGGGCAAATCTACTGTTGGGGCTGCTGTGATGCAAGTAGCCCACCCAATCAAAGATCTGCTGATATCAAGGGTAGTGACCCTGGGAAATGTGCAGGTCATAGTGGATGGCTTTGCTGCAATGGGATTCCCTAACTGTGGTGGGGCCATAGACGGAACCCATATCGCTATCTTGGCACCGGAGCACCAAGCCGCCGAGTACATAAACCGCAAGGGGTACTTTTCGATAGTGCTGCACGCTCTGGTGGATCACAAGGGACGTTTCATCAACATCAACGTGGGATGGCCGGGAAAGGTGCATGATGCTCGCATCTTCAGGAACTCTGGTCTGTTTCAAAAGCTGCAGGAAGGGACTTTATTCCCAGACCAGAAAATAACTGTTGGGGATGTTGAAATGCCTATAGTTATCCTTGGGGACCCAGCCTATCCCTTAATGCCATGGCTCATGAAGCCGTACACAGGCAGCCTGGACAGTAGTCAGGAGCTGTTCAACTACAGGCTGAGCAAGTGCAGAATGGTGGTAGAATGTACATTTGGATGTTTGCTGGCGCAGTTTACTGACTCGCTTAGACCTCAGCGAAACCAATATTCCCACTGTTATTACTGCTTGCTGTGTGCTCCACAATATCTGTGAGAGTAAGGGGGAGACGTTTATGGCGGGGTGGGAGGTTGAGGCAAATCGCCTGGCTGCTGGTTACACGCAGCCAGACACCAGGGCGGTTAGAAGAGCACAGCAGGGCGCGGTACGCATCAGAGAAGCTTTGAAAACCAGTTTCATGACTGGCCAGGCTACGGTGTGAAAGTTCTGTTTGTTTCTCCTTGATGAAACCCCCCGCCCCTTGGTTCACTCTACTTCCCTGTAAGCTAACCACCCGCCCCTCCTCCCTTCAATCACCGCTTGCAGAGGCAATAAAGTCATTGTTGCTTCACATTCATGCATTCTTTATTCATTCATCACACAAATAGGGGGATGACTACCAAGGTAGCCCAGGAGGGGTGGTGGAGGAGGGAAGGAAAATGCCACACAGCACTTTAAGCACAGCACTTTAAAAGTTTACAACTTTAAAATTTATTGAATGACAGCCTTCTTTTTTTTGGGCAATCCTCTGTGGTGGAGTGGCTGGTTGGCCGGAGGCCCCCTCACCGCGTTCTTGGGCGTCTGGGTGTGGAGGCTATGGTACTTGGGGAGGAGGGCGGTTGGTTACAGAGGGGCAGCAGTGGCAGTCTGTGCTCCAGCTGCCTTTGCTGCAGCTCAGCCATACACTGGAGCATACTGGTTTGGTCCTGCAGCAGCCTCAGCATTGAATCCTGCCTCCTCTCATCACGCTGCCGCCACATTTGAGCTTCAGCCCTGTTTTCAGCCCGCCACTTACTCTCTTCAGCCCGCCACTTACTCTCTTCAGCCCGCCACCTCTCCTCCTGGTCATTTTGTGCTTTCCTGCACTCTGACATTATTTGCCTCCACGCATTCGTCTGTGCTCTGTCAGTGTGGGAGGACAGCATGAGCTCGGAGAACATTTCATCGCGAGTGCGTTTTTTTTTCTTTCTAAGCTTCACTAGCCTCTGGGAAGGAGAAGATCCTGTGATCATTGAAACACATGCAGCTGGTGGAGAAAAAAAAAAGGGACAGCGGTATTTAAAAAGACACATTTTATAAAACAGTGGCTACACTCTTTCAGGGTAAACCTTGCTGTTAACATTACATACATAGCACATGTGCTTTCGTTACAAGGTCGCATTTTGCCTCCTCCCACCGCGTGACTACCCCCTCAACCTTCCCCCCTCCCTGTGGCTAACAGCGGGGAACATTTCTGTTTAGCCACAGGCAAACAGCCCAGCAGGAATGGGCTCCTCTGAGTGTCCCCTGAAGAAAAGCACTCTATTTCAACCAGGTGACCATGAATTATATCTCACTCTCCTGAGGATAACACAGAGAGATAAAAAACGGATGTTGTTTGAATGCCAGCAAACATACACTGCAATGCTTTGTTCTACAATGATTCCCGAGTACGTGTTACTGGCCTGGAGTGGTAAAGTGTCCTACCATGAAGGACGCAATAAGGCTGCCCTCCCCAGAAACCTTTTGCAAAGGCTTTAGGACTACATCTAGGAGAACCGCAAATGCCAGGGCAAAGTAATCCTTTCACATGCTTGCTTTTAAACCATGTATAGTATTTTAAAAGGTACACTCACCAGAGGTCCCTTCTCCGCCTGCTGGGTCCAGGAGGCAGCCTTGGGTGGGTTCGGGGGTACTGGCTCCAGGTCCAGGGTGAGAAACAGTTCCTGGCTGTCGGGAAAACCGGTTTCTCCGCTTGCTTGCTGTGAGCTATCTACAACCTTCTCCTCATCATCATCATCTTCGTCCCCAAAACCTGCTTCCGTATTGCCTCCATCTCCATTGAAGGAGTCAAACAACACGGCTGGGGTAGTGGTGGCTGAACCCCCTAAAATGGCATGCAGCTCATCATAGAAGCGGCATGTTTGGGGCTCTGACCCAGAGCGGCTGTTCGCCTCTCTGGTTTTCTGGTAGGCTTGCCTCAGCTCCTTCAGTTTCACGCGGCACTGCTTCGGGTCCCTGTTATGACCTCTGTCCTTCATGCCCTGGGAGATTTTGACAAAGGTTTTGGCATTTCGAAAACTGGAACGGAGTTCTGATAGCACGGATTCCTCTCCCCAAACAGCGATCAGATCCCGTACCTCCCGTTCGGTCCATGCTGGAGCTCTTTTGCGATTCTGGGACTCCATCATGGTCACCTGTGCTGATGAGCTCTGCATGGTCACCTGCAGCTTGCCACGCTGGCCAAACAGGAAATGAGATTCAAAAGTTCGCGGTTCTTTTCCTGTCTACCTGGCCAGTGCATCTGAGTTGAGAGTCCTGTCCAGAGCGGTCATAATGGAGCACTCTGGGATAGCTCCCGGAGGCCAATACCATCGAATTGTGTCCACAGTACCCCAAATTCGAGCCGGCAACGTCGATTTAAGCGCTAATCCACTTGTCAGGGGTGGAGTAAGGAAATCGATTTTAAGAGCCCTTTAAGTCGAAATAAAGGGCTTCATTGTGTGGACGGGTGCAGGTTTACATCGATTTAACGCTGCTAAATTCGACCTAAAGTCCTAGTGTAGACCAGGGCTAAGAGTGAACTGCACTCGTCGGGTCTTCGGTGCCTGCGGGAGACTCATCAGAAAGATCATTGCAAGGTCTGCCACGAGTTCTGCCAGAGAACACTTAAAGAACAGGAACAGCGGCTGAAGGTGATCCCCATGGAGGCAGCCTTGTGCCCCCATTCCGATCCGGGCTCGAGAGACCCAGCCCGACGGCTTCTTCCTCTATGCGGAGTGCCCCGGCAACTTTGACGTAGAGGAAGGACTCCTCCAGGGACACTCGGCACTGCCACGGCTCCTCACAGGGCCCTTCTGATAGTAGGCACCGCTCCCATTCGCCAGTGCTTCAAAAGAAGAAAAAGCCGGACGACTGTTCTCTGGCTAAGCCTCGAGAAGTGCGACCCCAGGTGAGCCACTCCTCAGCATCTCCTTCCAGGGCTATGTCAACTCTTGTCCAGGTGAGGCAGTTGAGTCCAGCCCCACCTCAATCTCTGGCACCTAGACAGAAGCTTCAGCTCCCGTCCATGCCGGAAGTGTACTAGGCCACCAGAGATCTCCTCCACCTGACAGCACCGTTTTCATCTGCCAGGGAGGAACCCGCAGCGCCGATAGAGCCCCATCCTACTCTGCATTCTAAGGAAAAGCCAGCTATGTCAAGGCACTCTCCTTTGCTTTGTCCATCGGCATCTACATACTCCGACAGAGAGCCCTCCCAATCCCCAAGCTCTCGCCGTTCGAGACACAGAGGATCAGCTCCTCCATGGTCTTCAGTGTCTGAGACCTTGGAGTCAGAGCCTGACTCCGATCGCTCAAGTAGGAGCCGAAGTCGTAGAGCAAGGTTGGGCAGAGACAGAAGGGAGCATCAGGCATGGCCTCCGCAGTGGCAGAACCCGCCTCAGTGGCCCTTCTGGACTCCCTGGGCTTATCACCAGGGCCAGAGAGGAGCCCAGGGCCCACACTCAGTGACGTCTTCAGTCGCATCTGCCATTTACGTACCACCTTATGCTGTGCATCCTCACCCGGCGCCTATGATCCCGACGCCTTTTACTCTGGCACCATCGTCAACTCTGGCACCGTGCTTGGCTCCGACTTCAGCACTGGCCTTCATGACGTCGACACACCTGTCTCCCACACCTGCACTGTTGTCGACATCGACCTCGATGCAGGCACCTACGGCCCAGGTGCCAATGTCAGCACCAGGACCCCTGACCCTGGCGGCTCCTGTGAGCATGCCGATGCAGTTCCCTCCTGTGAGACTGATGCTGATGCCTATGGCCCTGGCACCGTCATTGGCACCACCTCCTCCAATGCTGCCCCAGGAGTCACGTGGCCCATCCAAGGCAGACTGCAGGGAGCTTCCACCACCAGCACACGACTTCTCCTCGTCGCTGGATGAAGCGTTGGCAGGGATGTCCGTAGCCCCTGCATTAGAGGACAACAGAGTTTTAGAGCAGTTGCTCCAGAGGGCTTGGGCGTCAAGGCTGAGGAGGTGATTGAGGACACGGATCCCATGGTGGACATCCCTGGCCCTCACGGGTAGCGTTACCCCTCATTAAGACAGTGGTGGACACCACCAAAACTCTATGGCAGATGCTGGTATCTCTGCCACCCTCTGCCAAACGCAATGAGCGCTGATATTTTGCCAAACGCAATGAGCGGCGGCGAACCAGCTGAGCAGTGGGGAACAGCAGAGCAGCACACAGCAGGAGTTTGCCTGGGATTGGTATCCGAGTGCGTGTTTGCTGAGTAAGTATCAGAGTGTGTGTTTGCTGGGAGGGCAGTGTGAGAGCCTGAGCGAGTGCCTGATTGGCTGGTAGCCTGCAGGGGGCGGGCACTGGGGCTGTCTGTTTGTTTCAGGGAAGCCTGGCTGTTTAAAAATAGCCAGAGCTTCGCAAACCAGCTGAGCGGTGGCGAACCAGCTGAGCAGCGGGGAACAGCAGAGCAGCACACAGCAGGAGTTTGCCTGGGAATTCGCCTGGAGTGAGCCCAGTGATGCTTACATCTTTCCAACTTCTCTGAGAAAGCTCATAGTAGGAAGGTGATACGGAAGGGGGGGGGGGGGGTTTCAGCTGTTGTGACCTGCACTGGATGTGCCATGTTTGTCTTTCTTCCACAGGACAGAAGCGACTTTGCCTGTACAAAGTGCAAGCTGGTCTCCATATTGGAAGAGAAGATTGAAGGTCTGGAGCAACAGATAACGACCCTGCGTTGCATACAAGAAACGGAGGATTTTCTGGACAAAAGTCAGGATATGGTTCTACGGGCACAAAGCTCTAAAGATTTAGAGTAGGTTGCACAGTGGAGCCAAGAGGCCAGTGAAGAAGCTTGGCAACATGTGACCTCCAGAAGAAGAAGGGGGAATGTCCGGGTTCCAGCAATGCGGACACAGGTAACTAACCGCTTTCATGTTCTCTCCACGGGTACCATTGCGGAGAGTGGACCAGATGATATGTCTGGGGGGAGAAAGCAGAAGGAGACTCCGCTGGTTTAAAGGCATGAGATGCACCGTCCTGAGATGGGAGATTCCACGACCACCACTCCCAAGAGAAGGAGGCGGGTGGTGGTGGTCGGGGACTCTCTCCTCCGGGGGACTGAGTCATCTATCTGCTGCCCTGACCGGGAAAACCGAGAAGTCTGCTGCTTGCCGGGGGCTAAGATTCGCGATGTGACAGAGCGACTGCCGAGACTCATCAAGCCCTCGGATCGCTACCCCTTCCTGCTTCTCCACGTGGGCACCAATGATACTGCCAAGAATGACCTTGAGCAGATCACTGCGGACTACGTGGCTCTGGGAAGAAGGATAAAGGAGTTTGAGACGCAAGTGGTGTTCTCGTCCATCCTCCCCGTGGAAGGAAAAGGCCTGGGTAGGGACCGTCGAATCGTGGAAGTCAACGAATGGCTACGCAGGTGGTGTCGGAGAGAAGGCTTTGGATTCTTTGACCATGGGATGGTGTTCCATGAAGGAGGAGTGCTGGGCAGAGACGGGCTCCACCTTACGAAGAGAGGGAAGAGCATCTTTGCAAGCAGGCTGGCTAACCTAGTGAGGAGGGCTTTAAACTAGGTTCACCGAGGGAAGGAGACCAAAGCCCTGAGGTAAGTGGGAAAGCGGGATACCGGGAGGAAGCACAGGCAGGAATGTCTGTGAGGGGAGGGCTCCTGCCTCATACTGAGAATGAGGGGCGATCAGCAGGTTATCTCAAGTGCTTATATACGAATGCACAAAGCCTTGGAAACAAGCAGGGAGAACTGGAGGTCCTGGTGATGTCAAGGAATTATGACGTGATTGGAATAACAGAGACTTGGTGGGATAACTCACATGACTGGAGTACTGTCATGGATGGTTATAAACTGTTCAGGAAGGACAGGCAGGGCAGAAAAGGTGGGGGAGTAGCACTCTATGTAAGGGAGCAGTATGACTGCTCAGAGCTCCGGTACGAAACTGCAGAAAACCACTAACCCAGAAACTTATCCTTGCAACAAAGCCCATTGCCAATTATGCCCACATATCTATTCAGGGGACACCATCACAGGGCCTAATAACATCAGCCACACTATCAGAGGCTCGTTCACCTGCACATCCACCAATGTGATATATGCCATCATGTGCCAGCAATGCCCCTCTGCCATGTACATTGGTCAAACTGGACAGTCTCTACGTAAAAGAATAAATGGACACAAATCAGATGTCAAGAATTATAACATTCATAAACCAGTCGGAGAACACTTCAATCTCTCTGGTCACGCAATCACAGACATGAAGGTCGCTATCTTAAAACAAAAAAACTTCAAATCCAGACTCCAGCGAGAAACTGCTGAATTGGAATTCATTTGCAAATTGGATACTATTAATTTAGGCTGAAATAGAGACTGGGAGTGGCTAAGTCATTATGCAAGGTAGCCTATTTCCTCTTGTTTTTTCCTACCCCCCCCCCAGATGTTCTGGTTTAACTTGGATTTAAACTTGGAGAGTGGTCAGTTTGGATGAGCTATTACCAGCAGGAGAGTGAGTTTGTGTGTGTATGGGGGTGGGGGGATGTGAGAAAACCTGGATTTGTGCAGGAAATAGCCCAACTTGATTATCATGCACATTGTGTAAAGAGTTGTCACTTTGGATGGGCTATCACCAGCAGGAGAGTGAATTTGTGTGGGGGGGTGGAGGGTGAGAAAACCTGGATTTGTGCTGGAAATGGCCCAACCTGATGATCACTTTAGATAAGCTATTACCAGCAGGACAGTGGGGTGGGAGGAGGTATTGTTTTATATTCTCTGTGTATATATAAAGTCTGCTGCAGTTTCCACGGTATGCATCCGATGAAGTGAGCTGTAGCTCACGAAAGCTCATGCTCAAATAAATTGGTTAGTCTCTAAGGTGCCACAAGTACTCCTTTTCTTTTTGAGAAAAACCTGAGTGTCTCTGGATTAAGTTTAGAAGTGTGAGCAACAAGAGTGATGTAGTGGTGGGAGTCTGCTATAGACCACTGGACCAGGGGGATGAGGTGGATGAGACTTTCTTCCGGCAGCTCGCAGAAGCTACTAGATCGCATGCCCTGATTCTCATGGGTGACTTTAATTTTCCTGATATCTGCTGGGAGAGCAATACAGCGGTGCATAGACAATCCAGGAAGTTTTTAGAAAGCGTAGGGGACAATTTCCTGGTGCAAGTGCTAGAGGAGCCAACTAGGGGGGGAGCTTTTCTTGACCTGCTGCTCACAAACCGGGAAGAATTAGTAGGGGAAGCAAAAGTGGATGGGAATCTGGGAGGCAGTGACCATGAGTTGGTCGAGTTCAGGATCCTGACACAGGGAAGAAAGGTAAGCAGCAGGATACGGACCCTGGACTTCAGGAAAGCAGACTTCGACTCCCTCAGGGAACGGATGGGTAGGATCCCCTGGGGCAATAACATGAGGGGGAAAGGAGTCCAGGAGAGCTGGCTGTATTTCAAAGAATCCCTATTGAGGTTACAGGGACAAACCATCCCGAGGT